TTATATATAAATAGAAAATAAAAAAAAATAGAAAATAAAAAAAAAAAGAAATATAAATAAAGTAAAATAAAAAAAATAAATAAAAGAATATATAATAAATAATTGAAATTTTTTTTCAATTTTACAAATTGAAAAAAAGTAGTAAATTACTAAAAAGATTAATGCACAAAATAAATACAATAAGAGATAAGAAGAGATGCGACCACTTCCTACATATTTTATACCCTCTCCTACAAAGAAACTGGTAAGACCGACTCCATTGATAATTCCATCAATTATTCTTTTATCAAAAAAATGAATTAATTCGGCCAATTTTCTTATACCCCCAATAAAAGATATTGCATAAAAAGCATCTATGTAACCTCGATTATAGGACCAATTATATATCACATTTAGTATTTTGTCCCAAAGAATTCTATTAGGACCCTTTTTAGTCAACTTAGTGAACAAATTAAAGAAATTCCAATTTTGTAACGATGAATAAACGGGCTTATATAAAAAGGACGCTATAAATATTCCGAAAAAAGCTATACTGACCGAAAAAATGGCATTTGTTACAAATTCATACCAATCCACAGACTCACTTTGGTTTTGGTACAAAAGGTTTAAAGACGGAGTTAAAAGTTTTGACAAAATATCCAACTGCATTCCTTCTTCATTGAATTGATTGAAGGGAATTCCTATGGCTCCAACAAATAAAGTAAATAGTACCAAAACAAGCATAGGAAGTAACATAGTATTATCCGATTCATGGGGATAGGAAAAAACCCTTTTAGTATTAAAATTTTTAATAGTAATAAAAGGCCATGTCATATTTCTTAAATTACCGCCAATTTGATATGTGTTCCTCCAAAAAAAAGAAGTCCTTTCATTATTATTCATTGCTGATAAAGCTAATAAACGAAAATTGTTGTTAAGCATTTTAGATTCTTCTTTACCCCATAAAGAGATTGAATAAAATGAACTGTTTTTGTAATTTTGAAAATGAACATTTAAATGTCCTTCAAAAGTAAGTAAATAAACCCGAAACATATAAAATGCAGTTAATCCTGCTGTGAAACAAGCTATTATTGCAAAAATAGGTGAATACAACCAACTATCATTAAGAATCTCATCTTTGGACCAAAAACAGGCGAAAGGTGGAATACCACAAAGGGAAAGTGTTCCTAATAAAAAAGCAGTTTTTGTAATTGGAATATGTTTTGTTAAACCACCCATCAGAACCATATTTTGACTCTTATCTGGAGAATAACCAACAATAGCTTCCATTGAATGAATAATCGATCCAGATCCTAAAAACAACAATGCCTTCGAATAGGCATGAGTAATCAAATGAAATAAAGCGACTCGATAAGACCCCATACCTAGAGCTAACATCATATAACCCAATTGAGACATTGTAGAATAGGCTAAACTTCTCTTAATATCTTTTTGAGCAAGAGCTAAAGTAGCTCCTAAAAATACTGTTATTATACCTATCAAAGCGATTAGATTCATTATGTAAGGTGTGACTACAAAAAGAGGAAAAAGTCGAGCTATAAGAAAAATCCCCGCCGCTACCATAGTAGCAGCATGTATCAGAGCCGAAATAGGAGTAGGCCCTTCCATGGCATCCGGTAACCATACATGAAGAGGAAATTGCGCCGATTTCGCAATTGCACCGGAAAATAATAGAAAGGCACACAAAGTAACAAATAAAAGATTAACCTGATTATTAGAAATCAAGTTATTGAATATTTTGAACAAATCCCGAAATTCGAAACTGCCTGTTATCCAATAAAGACCTAAAATTCCTAATAATAAACCAAAATCCCCTACACGATTAGTTACAAACGCTTTTTGACAAGCGTTTGATGCAATAGGTCGTGTGAACCAAAAACCTATTAATAGATAAGAACACATTCCAACCAATTCCCAAAAAATATAAATTTGTATCAAATTAGAACTAGTAACTAATCCCAACATTGAAGTATTGAAAAAACTCATATAAGCAAAAAATCTCAAATAGCCTTGATCATGAGACATATAATTATCACTATAAAAAAGAACCAAAATTCCAACTGTAGTAATTAATACTGACAAAATAGAAGTAAGTGGGTCAATCAAGTATCCGAACTCTAAAGAAAAATCATTATTGATAGTCCACGACCATATATATTGATATAAAAAACTGCTATTTATTTGCTGAATAGACAGATCGATTGAAAAAATCATGACTATATTTAACAATAAAACGCTTGGAAAAACCCATATACGACGAAGTTTTTTTGTTGCTGCCGGAAAAAGTAGGAGTCCCGCTCCTATTAATATAGGCACGGTGAACGTAACGAAAGGTATGATCCATGAATATTGATATATATGTTCCATAAAAAAACTTTTTAATTTTGAATTAATAATTAATTGTTTCTGATTCATCGGTTCTTATATCTTTTAAAATAAGTCAGTCAATAAAAAATATATAAAAAATATATAAATATATAAATATATAATAATAAATATATAATATATATATATATAATAAAATAATATAATAATATATATAATAAAAATAATAAATATATAATATATATATATATAATAAAATAATATAATAATATATATAATAAAATAATATAATAATATATATAATAAAATATATATATAATAATAAAATATATATATAATATAAAACTAAAATCGAATTTGAATTTTTATTCTTAATTATTCTGAATTTTTCCAAAATACTTCAAATATTTAAATCAAAAAGTTAGAATTGGTCAAATTCAAATAAAAATACTAGTGAAAAATACTTATTTTTTTTTCTTTTTTTTCTAATTTCCTAAAAAAAAAAGAATAAAATAATAAGTGAATAGGCCTCTTTTTATGAAATTATGAAAAGAAGATAATTTACAGGCTAAATTATATGGATAATAAATAGTAAAGAATATATGGATATTAAATAGTAAAGAACTCTTTTTTCGAACAATAAATGTCTTTCACATCCAACTTTAACAATATAAAACTTCTTTTTTTTGAATGGCAGTTCCAAAAAAGCGTATTTCTATATCAAAAAAGCGTATTCGAAAAAATATTTGGAAAAGGAAGGGATATTGGGTAGTATTGAAAGCTTTTTCATTAGCGAAATCCCTTTCTACAGGTAATTCAAAAAGCTTTTTGTGCGACAAATAAAAATGAAAGGTTGGAATAATCCGATTTGACTTGACATAAGAAAAGGTTTAATTTTGTTTTCTATTTTCTAATTTATATTAGAAAATAGAAAAATATTAGAAAATAGAAAAATAAAATATGAAAAATAAAATATATAAAATATATAATATATATTTATATATATATAAATATATATTATATATATATATAAATATAAAATATAAATATAAAGATAAATATAAAGATATATATAAATATAAAGATATAATAAATATAAAGATATATATAAATATAAAGATATATATAAATATAAAGATTTTCATTCTTTTTCAATGTAATCAATATTAAATTGAACTACTTTTGCTTTTATCATATGTAGAATAAATAATTCTTTTGTCTATTGAATTCGAAAAACAGTACTTTTTTATTTGTTTGCAAAAAAAAGAAAAAAAAGAAAGACACAAAGTTTCACCTTTCTTTTTGTTGTTAGGATATTTTATCATTTTCGGGGTGGGGATTCTTTTTTCCCATCGACTCATTTCTGACAATCACAATAATAAATATTCATAAATTTTGTCTTTTTTATATTTATTATATTTATACTATTTGAATATAAAAGAATAGATCTTTGAATGGTCTACTTTAATAATATAATATGCTTAGGCTCGGGCTGGAAAATAGATCAAGGTATATATTATATATTAAATTAGATAAATTAGATAAATTAGACAGGATTTACGGAGTAGAACTCGAAATTTTTTGTTATATGATATGTCCAGATCAATACCTAATTGGGTTCCTAAATCCTAACACAAATTCTCTCCATAATAATAACCAATAAAATATAAAATATTTCCATAAATCTTGGAATATTCAAATCATAGTCCATAAAAAAAATTTCGATTTTTTTTTCATTATTACATTATTAAATGAATTTTTCTTCATTAATTTGAATTAATTTTAATGTTTCCTAAAAAAATATTACATTGAATTGACTCTCGACGATTAAATAACAATCGATTATTATGATTTCGAGTAAGCCGCTATGGTGAAATCGGTAGACACGCTGCTCTTAGGAAGCAGTGCTAGAGCATCTCGGTTCGAGTCCGAGTAGCGGCATAACTTCCTGTAATTTTCAAAAGGGTACAATAAATCCTATAATGAATTCAATTTCCGATTTCAATTTCATATAATTAGAACCCTTTTGAAAATAAAAAATAAAAATTATGATATTTTCGACTTTAGAACATATATTAACTCATATATCTTTTTCAGTCGTGTCAATTGTAATTACAATTCATTTGATAACCTTATTAGTCGATGAATTCGTAGAATTATATGATTCGTCAGAAAAGGGCATGATAATTACTTTTTTCTGTATAACAGGATTATTAGTTACTCGTTGGATTTTTGGGGGACATTTACCATTAAGTGATTTATATGAATCATTAATCTTTCTTTCCTGGGTTTTTTCCATTATTCATATGGTTCCGTATTTTAAAAAACACAAAAATTTTCTAAGCGCAATAACCGCGCCAAGTACTTTTTTTACCCAAGGATTTACTACTTCGGGTCTTTTAACTGACATGCATCACTCCGAAATCTTAGTGCCCGCTCTCCAATCCCATTGGTTAATGATGCACGTAAGTATGATGATATTGGGCTATGCAGCTCTTTTGTGTGGATCATTATTATCAGTAGCATTTCTAGTAATCACATTTCGAAAAATTATAAGAATTGTTGATAAAAACAATAATTTATTAAATGATTCATTTTCTTTTAGTGAGATACAATATATGACGGAAAGAAAGAATGTTTTAAGAAATATTTCTTTTCTTTCTTCTACTAATAGGAATTATTACAGGTTTCAATTGATTCAACAATTAGATGACTGGGGTTATCGTATTATAAGTATAGGGTTTATCTTTTTAACCATAGGTATTCTTTCGGGAGCAGTCTGGGCTAATGAAGCGTGGGGATCATATTGGAGTTGGGACCCAAAGGAAACTTGGGCATTTATTACGTGGACCATATTTGCGATTTATTTTCATACTCGAACAAATAAAAATTTTGAGGATTTAAATTCGGCAATTGTCGCTTTTATCGGTTTTCTTCTAATTTGGATATGTTATTTTGGAGTTAATTTATTAGGAATAGGTTTGCATAGTTATGGTTCATTTACATTAACAATTAACATCTAATTTACCAATTAACATTTAATTGAATGTCTGACGAATGCAACTATATAGGACAGCAAAGCATATAGACAAAAAAAACTTCAGGTAAGCCGTTGAGAACCTTTTGAATCGCCATATTACTTGATTCAAAAAGTTCTCACAAATGCCAAAACAATTTGGTTACAATTCATTTTTTAACTTCAATTTAAAATTTAAGAGACGAAAAAAAGCTTTTTCATTGTATAACATAAGGATTTTTCATTTTTAAAAATCATAGGATTTCTTTTTTTATTTTTTGTTTTATTTAGAAAAATAGAAAAAAACTATCTATAAAAATAATTAGATAGAATAGCTTCGACCTTGTCAATTGATAATGAGAAAACGAAATCCGGATAAATACCAATGCCTATTACAGGCAGAAGGATAGAGATCGAAACAAATAACTCTCGCGGTCCAGAATCAAAAAAATAAGAGTTTTGGACATTAAATAGCCTGTACCCATAGAATATCTGGCGTAACATAGATAATAAATAAATAGGAGTTAATATCATTCCAACTGCCATTACAAAAGTAATTAATATTTTTGACATTAAAAGATATTTTTGACCGGTAATTATTCCAAAAAAGACTATCAATTCCGAAAAAAAACCACTCATGCCCGGTAATGCAAGAGAAGCTAGTGATAAGATACTGAATGTCGTAAATATTTTTGGCATTGGGGGAGCCATTCCACCCATTTCGTCAAGATAAACACGACGTATTCTATCATAACCCGTTCCTGCCAAGAAAAAAAGTGCAGCACCAATAAATCCATGTGATATTATTTGTAAAATGGCTCCGTTGAGCCCCATATCACTTATAGAGCAAATTCCTATAATTATGAAACCCATATGAGATACAGAAGAATATGCTATTCTTTTTTTTAAATTTCGTTGACCAGGAGATGTTGAAGCTGCATAGATTATTTGCATTACGCCTACTATTATCAACCAGGGAGAAAAGATAGAATGAGCATGAGGTAAGAATCCCATATTGATTCGAATCAATCCATATGCCCCCATTTTTAATAAGATTCCGGCTAGAAGCATACAAGTACTGTAATGTGCTTCCCCATGCGTGTCTGGTAACCATGTATGTAAGGGTATAATCGGTGATTTGACAGCAAAAGCAATAAGAAATCCAATATAGAAAAATATTTCTAGCGCCGCAGGATATGATTGATTGGCTGATATTTCAAAATGGAATCTTGGTTCATTGGAACCATATAAAGCGATACCCAAAGCTCCCATTAATAAAAAAACAGAACCCCCTGCAGTATACAAAATAAACTTTGTAGCTGAATACAGACGTTTCTTTCCCCCCCACATTGATAGAAGTAGATAAATGGGAATTAATTCTAACTCCCACATGATAAAAAAAAGTAAAAGATCTTGAGAAGAAAATAATCCTATTTGACCACTATACATTGCTAACATCAGAAAATGGAATAATCGGGAATCCCGATTAATTGGCCGAGCCGCTAAAGTAGCTAAAGTAGTGATAAATCCTGTCAATAAAATAGGTCCTAAAGAAAATCCATCTATTCCCAATCTCCAGTAAAAATCAAAAAACTTGATCCATTTATAATCTTCTGTTAATTGAATTAATGGATCGTCCAATTGGAAATAATAAGAGAACACATAAGTCATTAAAAGAAGCTCTAAAACACATATACATAAAGTATACCACCTAATTACCTTATTTCCTCTATGAGGGAAAAGGAAAATTAAGGAACCCGCGGATATCGGTAAAACTACAAGTATTGTTAACCAAGGAAAAGAATTCGTGGTAAAGACAAGATACACTTGGACTAGAAAAACCCGTGCTCGAAAACATAATATATATATATATTATATATATATTATTTTTTTCGAGTACGGGTTTTTGTCGGTAAACAAAAAATCAAATATGTTCAAGTGGGTTTTTCTGGAAAGTATCAATAAGCTAGACCCATGCTTCGAGTTGTTTCATGCCATAAATAAACTCGAACACTCAAGAAATCTGTTGGACAGGCGGATTCGCATCTCTTACAACCAACGCAGTCCTCTGTTCTTGGAGCAGAAGCAATTTGCTTAGATTTACATCCATCCCAAGGTATCATTTCTAATACATCGGTGGGACAGGCTCGGACACATTGAGTACACCCTATACATGTATCATAAATCTTTACTGAATGTGACATTGGATTTATAATTTTTTAACGTTATAAAATTTCAATCTAGTAAATTTCTAAATGAATCATTATATATTTAGACACCAGACGAATCAATGATTTAGCAGAATTTTCCTATTCAATTCTAGATCGACTCATGAGATAGAGTAGAGCCAAGATACTTTTATTTCTTACGTTTTTGCAAACATGATCGGATAAGTTACTACGTATCATACATGCCAACTCGAATTAATGAATATGAAAATTATATTCTATATGATTAATACTACTTATTCAACAAATTCGATTGATTGATACGGGTTGATTTTCTGTTACGATAAATTGATGAAACAATAGCTGGTCCAATAGCTGCTTCAGCGGCTGCGATAGCTATAACAAAAATTGAAAAAATATTTCCCTTTAGTTGGCGACTATCAAAAAAATCAGAAAATGTTACGAAATTTATATTAACTGCATTCAGTATAAGTTCAAGGCACATAAGGGCTCTAACCATATTTCGACTCGTGATCAATCCATAGATACCGATAGAAAATAAATAGGCACTCAAAACAAGTACATGTTCGAGCATCATTGACCAACTCCTTATAAATTTCGATTTTTTTTTCAATATGAACAAAAATTCAACATCAACAAATTGGATTGACTAGAATAAGAATATCACAAGTACAGAACAAAGAAATATATGGATCAAATAAAATAAAAGAGTTTATACATAAATAATCTTTAAATAGAATTGAAGGAAAAAAAATGTGATAACATAAAATGAAATTTGTTAAATTTGGATTGCGGTTACTAATTCTAAAGATTTATTACTGACGAGCCACAGCAATCGCACCTATCAAAGCAACTAAAAGAATTACTGAAATAAAGTCAAATGGAAGAAAAAAATCTGTTGATAAATGAATTCCAATTTGTTGCCCATTACTTATTAAATCTTGTTCTATAATCTGATTTGTTCTTGTAGTCCAAATAATCCCGTACCATGATGTATCTGAAATAATAGTAATTAGTGAAATAAAAATGCTTGTACAAACTAAGGAAGTAACCCCGTTTCCAACAGTCCAAAGATTAAAATCTTTGTAATATTCTGAACCATTCATGAACATCACGGCAAATAGAATTAAAACATTTATAGCTCCCACATAAATAAGGAGCTGTGCAGCAGCTACAAAATGAGAGTTTGATAAAATATAGAATAAAGATATACAAACAAGAACAAATCCCAACGAAAAAGCAGAATAAATTGGATTGGTAAATAATACCACTCCTAGACCTCCTAATATAAGACCTAATCCCAGAAAGACTAAAAGAAAATCATGTATTAGTCCAGGCAAATCCATTGCACGTAAAATAAGAGATAAAAAAATGGAATTGTTTTTTCATGACCTTATTGACTTGACCAGGAAAAACTTTTTTATTTTTAGAATATTTTTTTATTATTTTTTTATATTTATTTTTTATTCTATTTATAATAATAATATTTATATTTATAATATTTATATTTATAAATAGGTTCTTAATTGAATTAAACCCTTTAAACCCTAAGGGGTATAGATTACTATAAGTACAGCTATTGTACTAATCTCATTCTTTCTCGAAAAAGGCATTCAAAATTTTATTATCGAAAAAATTATGGATAAAATTACAGATATATTAATAGATTTTCAATCCAAATTTAGCCGCGATGCTATTCTCATCAATCAATCAAATCAATAGTTGGAATTTGTAATTTTTTTAGTTATTGACCAAGAAAAATGAAAGAAATCCCATTCCATCTCTTATAGATCAAAGATAGATCAAAATAGATCAAAGATAGATCAAAGCCGAATTTTAGTGAATTTTAGTGAATTTTGGTTTAATAATTGTACTTTTTAATCAATCAAAGTGGTTTATCTATTTTTTTTTGTTGATTTTTTGTTGAGTTGAATTCAAAATTGTTCGAATTGTATAATCGTCAACTACTGACATTGGTAAACGACCTAAAGCAATTTGATTATAATTCAATTCGTGACGATCATAAGTAGAAAGTTCATATTCTTCAGTCATTGATAAACAATTTGTTGGACAATACTCAACACAGTTGCCACAAAATATACAGATTCCAAAATCGATACTGTAATTAAGCAACCGTTTCTTTCGAATGTCAGTTTCCAATTGCCAATCAACAACAGGTAGATCTATAGGGCATACCCGAACACATACTTCACAAGCAATGCATTTATCAAATTCAAAATGGATTCGACCGCGGAAACGCTCCGATGTGATTAATTTTTCATAAGGATATTGAATCGTTACAGGTAAACGGTTTGCATGGGATAAGGTAATCATGAAACCTTGACCAATGTACCTTGCAGCTTGCATGGTTTGTTGCCCATAATTCATGAACCCAGTTACCATAGGAAACATATGGTGAATATTTATGAATAATTTTATGTTTGTTTTTTCTCTTGTAGATCATGAATCTAGAAATTTTTTTTTATTATTCTTTTATAGTGAAAGGAGTTGGAAAGAGGTTGTTAATAATAAATTACCGAGAGAAATAGGTAAAAGAAATTTCCATCCAAGATTTAAAAGTTGGTCCATTCTTAGTCTAGGTAAAGTCCATCTTGTTGTAATAGGAATGAACAAGAACAAATAAGTTTTAACCAATGTAATAAAGATACCTATTGTTGTTTCAAAGACTCCACCTATTTTATTTATTTGAAAAAGCTCAGGAACGAATAGATACGAAATAGGGATATTCCAACCACCCAAGTAAAGAACTGTTACAAATAATGAAGAAACTAATAAGTTTAGATAGGAAGCAATATAAAATAAACCAAATTTTATACCAGAATATTCGGTTTGATAGCCTGCTACTAATTCTTCTTCTGCTTCTGGTAAATCAAAAGGCAATCTTTCACACTCTGCTAGAGAAGAAATAAAAAAAATGATAAATCCTATAGGTTGACGCCACAAATTCCACCCCCAAAAACCGTATTTTGATTGTGCCTCAACTATATCAACGGTACTTGAACTGTTAGATAATTATAGTCGGTGATAACATCACTGTTCCCATCGCTATTACAGAACCGTACATGAGATTCTCACCTCATACGGCTCCTCGAAAGCTATAAATAAATTTAAGGATCAGAGCGTATTATTTATTTTGATATTATTTATTTTGATATATTTATAGAATGTTTATATTATAGAATAGTTATAGAATAGATAGGATCAAAATCAAATCTTTCGACGTTCCAAAATTCGAGCAACGAAATTCTATCTGTTATAATACTAAAAATAAAAAAGTACTTCTGAATTGATCTCATCCTTTATTCAATTTTTCTTTTTAAGTAATAACTTAAATCCTTCGATAAAATACTCTTTGTAAAAAGGAAAATATTCCTTATAAAAATACCAATAGATATTTCAACCTATCATTTTCGATTACGAAAAAGTTAGATATTCTGAATTATGACACGAATTCCATCTTTATGAATATTGATATAGAAAAAAAGAATAAAAAATATTTCTTTTTTTTCGTTCCTATTCTTCTTTCTGAAAAAAAAGAAAAAGGGGGATTAAAAAAATGAAAGGATTATTTCGTTCCTGATAGTTATTTCTTTAATCGGTGGGTAGGAGCATACTCTGGATCGGAATCATGGGGAGTACTACCTGATCATTTCTACCAACTTAAAGCCCCAATTAATATACTTTTCTATTATCTATTAGGCCGAATTAGGCCGAAATACCCTTTGTAGATAATTTAGATAATTTTCAATCTATTACTAATCCTTTGTGTATCTTGGTATTCCTAACCATCCACTCATTTTTGCTTAATCACCTGTTAGAATTATGGTAATACATATAAATGATAGTGAAAACTCAAGAAAACTCAACAAGGTTGATCTTTTGAGCCCGCTTCAAGTCAGGATGACTAATCAACCAATCTTGGGGCAACCGGTCTTCTTTTTTTTTCTGTTTTACTCTTGTACATAGGAAATGAGTCTCCATTTTTTACTTCAAATTTCGAAGTTGTTTTCTTTTACTCATATAACTATCCAATTTAGTTCATCAACCCAAATGATGAATAAAAAATGAAGATATCTATTCATTTCGCCCTTTTCCTAAAAAGTCCTAAAAAGAATAGGGAAAAATTTATGTTTCAACGAATCACACGTAGAGATATGGATAACACACAAAGACTTAATGGTATTTCATAACTAATCGATTGAGCAGCAGCTCGTAGACCACCTAAAAAAGAATATTTATTATTGGATCCATATCCTGACATAAGAAGTCCAATGGGAGCAATACTTGAAATGGCAATCCATAAAAAAACACCAATATTTAGATCAGTTAAAACAAAGTGATAGCCAAAAGGAATTACTGAATAGCTTAATAAAGTTGATATGACTGCTATGGATGGTCCGATACTGAATAAACGAGTATCTCCCCTAGATGGAAAAAGATTCTCTTTGAAAAGAAGTTTTGTCCCATCCGCTAGAGCTTGAAGAACCCCTAAAGGACCGGCATATTCAGGTCCAATACGTTGTTGTATCCCTGCAGATATTTCTCTTTCTAACCATACAATTACTAGTATGCCTATCGTGATTCCAAATACAAGAATCAAAATAGGGACAAAGGCCCATAGAAGTCCATAGACCTCGTTTAAGGATTCTAATCTAGAAAAAGAATTGATAGCTTGTACTTCTGTTGTATCAATTATCATTTCAACGATCAACTTCTCCCATAATGATATCTATACTACCTAGTATTGTCATAATATCAGCCAATTTCATTCTTTTAACTAATTGAGGAAGAATTTGCAAATTGATAAAACCCGGGGGGCGAATTTTCCATCTCCAAGGAAAACCGCTCTGATCCCCTATCAGAAAAATTCCCAATTCTCCTTTTGGAGCTTCGACTCTCACATAAAGTTCTTGTTTCGGTAATTCAAAAGTAGGAGAAGTTCTTTTACTAATGAATCGATATTCGAAATCGTTCCATTCTGGATCCCCTTCTTTATCAAAACGTCGGGTTTCTAAATTTTCATAGGGCCCCCCCGGAATTCCTTCCAGAGCCTGTTGAATAATTTTTATAGATTCCATCGTTTCACCAATTCGGACTAAATAACGAGCTAATGAATCCCCTTCTTTTTGCCACTGGACTTCCCAATCAAATTCGTCGTAACACTCATAACGATCCATTTTACGAAGATCCCATTGTACTCCGGAAGCTCGTAGCATTGGTCCTGATAACCCCCAATTTATTGCTTCCTCTGTACCAACAATACCAACTCCTTCAACTCGTTCTAAAAAAATAGGATTTCGCGTAATAAGTTTTTGATATTCAGCAACTCTTGTTAAAAAATAATCACAAAAATCCAAACATTTATCTATCCAGCCATGAGGTAGATCAGCCGCTACTCCCCCAATACGAAAATAATTATGCATCATTCTCATACCAGTGGCAGCTTCGAATAAATCATATACTAACTCTCTCTCTCTAAAAATATAGAAGAAAGGAGTCTGTGCCCCAATATCCGCCATAAAAGGGCCAAGCCATAATAAATGAGAAGCTATACGACTCAATTCCAACATAATTACCCTGATATAGCTAGCTCTTTTAGGCACTTGAATATTTCCTAACAGTTCTGGGCCATTTACTGTTATTGCTTCTGTGAACATAGTAGCCAAATAATCCCAACGTGTTACATAGGGCAAATATTGTATAATTGTTCGATTTTCCGCAATTTTTTCCATGCCTCTGTGTAAATAACCTAATATTGGTTCACAGTCAATAACATCTTCGCCATCTAGAGTAACGATGAGTCGAAGAACACCATGCATTGATGGGTGGTGGGGACCCATATTGACTATCATAAGGTCTTTTCGCATAGCTGGTACATTCATAGGGGTTTCCTCGATCTATTCTTCCATGAATTACTGAAAACAAAAAGAAATTCATCTCAAGATCTAATAAATCAAATAATTCAAAAAAACTCCTCAATTTATCAGTTTAACGAATTTTTGACTCCCGAATATCCAACCGGCTAATTAATTCTTTATAACGTACTCTCTTTTTCTTTGCTAAATAAGACAGCGATCGTTGACGTTTTCCTAGAATTTTCCGCAAACCCCTCTGAGATGAATAGTCTTTTCTATGCAATTCCAAATGTGAAGTAAGTCTTCGTATCTTATTAGTGAAACTTACTATTTGAAATTCAACGGATTCTTTGTTTTCGTTTTTTTCTTCTTGTGAAATAACCGAAATGAATGAATTTTTTACCATAAAAAAAGTACTTTTTTAGTTTATTTTTTTTAGTTTAAGATATTTTTTATTAATCAGTAATAATAGAAAATGTATTAATAAATAATAATGTCAGTTCATTTTAATTTTGTATACACAATAATCTTTCTTTGTTAATAATTCAAAATCTTGTCAAATCCAATTTATCCTTAATCAATTCCATTTTTTTTTATTCAGTTATAGATACAAAAAGGATGGTATATTTTTTCGTTTCCAAAAGAGAAAAAAATTCTATCTAAAATGGAATTGAAAGTAAAAAGATTCGTTTCTAGATCTAATTAATACATGATTGAATTCCATATGAATATGGAGTGTAAAAAAATAACGTGCCCATCTCCTTGTTTTCATATACTCGATTAGATATGCTATGGGATATATATGAAAAATGAAAAATGCACCTTTACTAAAACTAAAATTGCGCCCGTGGATATATATATATTCTTACCATACTGAAGCAACTGGCATTATTAGTATCAAACCAATAGCGATTCATACAAGCTAAATCTTCTAATCGAAAATGGGGCCAAAGAAAAAATTTGAATTTAATTAGTTTATTTTTATCTCTATCAAAATGTTTACTTTTATCCAAAATAGGACCACAGTTTTTTATTTTATTAACGTTGAAAATTTCTGTATTTATATGAATATCATTTTTATGAATATCATTTTGGTTTTTAAAATTGAAAGAAGTTAGAATTCTTAATTCTCTACGACGTTTAGGGAATAAAATATTTTCAGGAACAAGTAAATCATAATCATTTTTGTCTCTATTGCCAATTAGACTTTGATGTCTTTCAATAGGTTCGGTAAAATTCTTTTTATCAATATAGATTTTTTCTCTGTATTTTTGATTAATTTGTTGTTTGTTCTTATGAACTAATAAGATACCTACCGTTTGATACAAAAGAAATTGTCCATTATTTTTTACTGACAAACGAACAGGTTCGATAATAAATATTCCCTTTTTCATCAATTCAGTAAGAGTTAAATCCTTCTGAACCATCAGAATATTCAGACTTATTTCTTGTCTTTGAATAGAAGATATAAGAATTTCTCGTGGATTTGTCAGTCTAAGCAGGAGACAATATACTTTGATATTATTGATTATTTTTTCATTTAAAGAATCATTCCATCTTAATTGAAAACATAAATACCGTTTTAGGAAGAAATCAAGCTCTACTTCCGTATGACTTTTGTTTTGTTTTTTATTTCTATGTTTTTTCATATCTAATCCCATATAATCTTCTTCAATATTTTTTTCTTGATTTGCGAAAACTGATCCAAAGTCCATTTTGTCTTTGGATTCTTTTTCTTCGTGATTTCGATTCTCTAATTCAATGAATTTTTTTTCATTCGATGATATAAAAAGATCGCCGTTTTTCTTCTCGTTGATTTTAGTATTTTTACTAACATTTTCATTTCTATGAAAATTGAAAAGAAGAAATTGGATGGGTATTGCCCATGGTTTTATCTTATATGTGTTATAAAGTATCACAAATTTTCGAAAGAACCAAAGTTCAAAATTGGATATGAGACGATTTTGTATTTCTTCATTCATTCCCAGCCAATCAAAAAGGTTTTTTTTTTGATTGGATGAATTGACTTCTTGATCTTGGTGAATTGTAAGAAAAAGAAGATTTTTCTTATCGATTTTATCAATTATTTGATACTTATTAGTCCTAGTCTTAGTATTTTTTTTTTCTTTGCTTCCGATATCAATCCAGGACTCAATATCGACCTTTTTTCTAAGACAAAAATCGAGAATTCTCCAATCCAAATATTTTCTAGTCGGGCTTTTCTCCATATCGCTAATATCATCTTCCCCTAGATAATTATTGATAGGAATACTTTCCAACATGTCAAATAATTTGCTTTTATTTGTGTTGTAATTATAAGAAATCTCTTGTTTATTTACTTGTAATGGGAATCCGTAAATATATGAGTTCTTCTTATTTTCATAATTAATGGATTTATATGATAAAAGATTATATCTACAGTGTTTTTGAAAATTCTTTTTTTGATTCGGTAATGAATCTGCCGCAAAATCATTATCATTTTTTTTTCGTAATGAATTAATTGGTCTTTTTTCATTTAATTGGTCTTTTTCATATAAATTGAATTTATTAAATTTTTTATTTTGAACCATATGGTGTTGCTTGATTCTATTTCGCCATTTTTGTGATATTAATCTAGACCATCTAATCTGAGTTAAATCATATTTATATTGATAATGACCCCTTAACCAGTTTTTCCATTGATTTATTACGAAATTTTGAAAATTTTTATCTTTTAATTTGGAATTAAATATCCCTTGGGCTCTAAAATAATCCTTTATCTCATTCTTAAGAAAAAGGCCATGATATTGAAGGATAGATCGTAACTTATATAAATTAATAATTTGGATTTGTGATAATTTGTAAAATACATATGTTTGTGACAAGGAGGATATATCACAAAAAATCTGTGAATTGTTATTAATAACAGCAATATTACTATTATTAAGTAACTTTTTTATAATCATAATCGAAAGAAAGTGAATTGTATTTTGCTTTGTTTTATCAATTTTTTGTGATTTTTTTTTCATTATTGCAAACATATTTAGTAATAATTTTTTTGTTGATTCAAGAAAAAGCTGTGCATTGATCCTCGGAATATTAATGATACTTAAAAAGATATCTATGTATATCCTTTGAATCAAAATTTTTATAAAAAAATGGAATTTACGCACTAATCGAGCATTTCCCCTTTTTAATATCTGTATCTGTGAAATATTTTTTGATGATTTTAATTTTTTAACATTATAACTTATTTTGTTAGGATTAATATGTATTTTTGAGGTTATAATTTTTGTTTCCTTTTCTTTTTTCATTTTTTCTATTTGATTTATGATTATCTTTCTTCTAGAAGAAAGATCTTTCATTTTTTTTTCTGTTAGTGAATAATTTGTCCAAGCCATAGATCGAGTTGGAGTAGACAATTTTTGAATCGTTCCATTATTGTTATCGATTATTGAATTTTTTTCTTTTTTAGTTTCATTCAATTCATATACTTTTATAAATCCAGATAATAAATTTGCATTTCTTTTTGATTTTGAAAATTTGTTTATTATTTCTTTTTTCTTTTCGAAAAAAAATGTTTTTGATAACCCAATTTTTTTTTCTTTTGATAATTTTAGAAAAAATTTTCTTCTTTCTTCTAAAATTGTTAGAACTCGAAAACCTTTTTTTTTTATTTTTCGAATTTTTTTTTCGAGTTTTTTAAAGATGGGTTCAAAGAGGGAAAGCCGTTTTCGGGGAGAACCAAAAGGCAATTCAACTTCCATTCCCCAAACTGTTAAAAAAACAAAAATCCGTTTTTGTGTTTTCTTTTTCATTGGATCTTTGGGAGGGAGTTTTAACTTAGATCTGTGCCAAGGTTTTAGACGAAAAGGAAATAGGATCTTTATTTGAATCCCGTCTGTTAACCAGTTTTTTGGAAATTCTTTTTCGGATAATTGAACTCCATTATAAGTGCATTTAACATGCATTTCTCTACTCCAATCTTTAAAATCCTCAGACCATTCGGGAATTTGAAAAAGTAGTATACGAATGATATTTTTAGTTATTATTAAAAAAGTTAATATAATATATTTTCTAAGAATCGACTGGGTTACTAAAACACACCCTCTTAT